GTGGGTTTGAACCACTGGCCGTCTGGTTAGCAGGCAAGTGTCTTAGCCACTATGCTCTTGTGGAGAGTAGGATGCAAAAGCATAAATAAGATTTGAAAGATAAAAATGGATATCTGGAAATTTTCTGAATATGGTTCAGCTCTAGTAGGGCAGGTCTCATGGAAAGTCAGAATTGAAGGGCTGCTGTCAAAGAGGAGTATAGGCATGGAAAAATGAGGAGAACTGACAAAGATCCAGACCCCAATCTTGGTCAAGAGACACTATTTGGCTGCCACATAAAATCTGCTGGACTGTGGAGTGATAGCCTCCTTTTTTTAGGATTAAAGCAGAAACACAGAACTAAATATAGTCATACAAGTTAGCAAAAACTGTTGAAGCTGTTGACAGACCAGTATTTTATCATTTTTGGTGACTTTTGTTTTTCTTCGCAGATACTGTACACAGCAGCAGGTAAAGAAAACCTAAAAAACTATAATATGGTCACAGATACACCACTTTATGTGACTGCTCTTCAAAGTGGCATTAATGCAAGTGAGGTAAGTTTTCTTTGTACTTCTCTTCCAGGGGCAAGTCATTTCTTTCTTTTCATATTTCCAAATCAGGGCTTTAAACTGGTTCAGCCCAGTTCAGTCATTGCTGACGAAGAACACTGAAATGGGCCTGAATTTTTAAAACGTAGGTGAACCAGGATGATAACTGGAACAGGAAAAATTACAGGTCAGAGCCCTCCTAGAAATTTAATCTTCTTCTTAGAAAACAAAGACAGCATGTGCATTGCATAGCAATGAAATCTTGCCTACCAGTCAACTGTGCTGCTTTGAATGTGTATCACTCTCCACTGTCCTGGCAGTAATCCAGTCTCCCACATCAGACCCCTGAAAGGGTTCACTACACCTCTCCTGAGTTGCCTGTTCCAGGCCTTCAACCTAGAATTTTTTCCTGTTCTGGTTAGCATTCTGGATCACCCAAATTTTAAAAATTTGTGTCTATTCCAGTTTCATTTCATCGGCCGAGACTGAACCAGTTTGAACCAGTTCAAAGCCTTGTTTCAAACAACAGTGATAAATAAACCTTTTTGTTTTGTTTTGGTCTGTAGGTGAAATATAAAGAAAATTATCATCAGATTAAGGACAAATATACGACAGTTCTGGAAACAGTGGACTATGACAGAACCAGGAATCTGAAGGATCTTTATAGCAGTGTGAGTTGAGTTCTTTTTCCTCTTATATTTGGGCCACATTTTCCTCCTTCAGAAATAATAAGAGAAGAAAATAGATAGGCACCCTGCCCAAGAGATTTTCCACTTTTTGTTGTGGGCCTTCAAATTCCTACTTTGTGTCATAAAGCCTCCTCATTACAATTAAATATTGCACTTTCATGCACTTGACACAAATTTAGAAACTTATTCCTATTGTAGGCAGATACTGATGAAGCTATCATTTCTTGACCCTGAACTTGTCATTCTCTGGTCTCTCCAGTGACTTACAGAACAACAAAGGCATTCTCTTTTCCCTCCTCTAAATTGGTTAATTCAAAAAATGTTTTTATATCCTGTTACTTCAGACTTACAGAAAACTTGCAGAAATGGTATAGAGAATTCTCAGATATCCATCATCAAGCTTCTCCATAGTATAGTTATCAAAAGTAAGAAATTATCACTGTTACAATACTATTAACTAAATTACGTATCTTGCTTGGATTTCACCAGATTTTCCACTAATATTTTTCTTCTGTTCTAGGAGCCAATTCATGATCCCACATAACATTTGGCTGCCATGTCTCCTTAGTCTCCTCCATCTATAATAATTACTCTGTGTTTCATTATCTTTTATGATCTTGCCACTTTTGAAGAATATTTACCATTTATTTTGTATAAAGTCTCTCAATTGGAGTTTATCAGATGTTTTCTCATAATTAGATTTGAGTTATACATTTTTGGCAAGAATAACCCAGAACTGATATACTCTTCTAGGTATATCATATCAGATGGCGTATGGTAACAATTAACTGGTGATGTTAACCATGATCACTTAACTAAGTTGGTATCTGCCAAGTTTCGGCACTTTAAAACTACTATTTTTCCCTTTGTTATTCAAAAACATAACTTGGAGGAGATTCTTTGAGACCATGCAAATACCCTGTTTCATCTCAAACTTTCTATGTCCAGCACTGAACCATTTATACCATGCAAGAACACATGAGTAAATAGACTTAAAAATAAATGTTGATGGTCTTCATCTTCCAGGAATTCCTAGACCTATATGGAGTATATAAGTGCATCAAAAACAAACAAATAAATAAAAACTAAAAATCTGATAACTGGCAGACAGTGATAATTACTATAGTAGAAAACAAAATAATGGACTATGAAATTATGGCTACAGTCCTAAACCAGTTATTTTTTTAGGTATTCTTGGATTCTACAGAGTGAGAAAATCTGGAGGTTGGTAGGGAGTGCCTAAGGACAGAAAAGGAGGAGAGAAAGAACTGTTACTTGGAAGCTAGCTAGAATCCATTTTTCCTTATTAATGAGAAGATTTTTAATCTTTGCAGAACCTGTACAAGGAGGCCTGGGATAAAGTGAAAGCTACCGGCTACATTCTGCCTTCCAACACCGTGTCCCTGACGCATGCCAAGAACCAGAAGCATTTGGCCAGCATTGTAAGTTAAATACAAACACAGCAACATTCCCACTCCTCCTGCCCTTCCCTGTTCTCCACTCTCAGAACTGTTATGGCTGATTCCTATGCTGACCATATGAGTAAGTCCATGGGGTATCTTAGCAAATAATTCTAGGTGCTCAGTGCTCACAGAATCTGTGTGTTATTGCTTCCTCTCAAGGACACTGCAGTCAAGAGAAAACTCCTAAGAACTGACGAGAAGGACACAAATGTGACCTGCAAGTGACATGGATACTCTCTGTTTTAGCCAGAAGAGAGAAGAGGCAGATGGCATAATATACTGTTCAAAACAGATTATTTTTCAGTAGATTATGTGGCCTTTATGACAAATATAAAATAGTAAATGTCATAACTGGTTGGTATACCATCCCCAAATAAATGATTGAAAAAATTGTTTTGTGACTATTAAATACAAATTTTTATAATCTTTTAAAAGACTATACTACTTTTATAAGGCAGAACTTTTCTCAGGCATAAACATAATTATTCAAAAAAAATATGTAACATATGCAGTTTAAATATTATATAGAGTCTTATGACCACTAATATTTTTGTGCCTAAAATGTTCTTCAGTAAAACCTATTATTATAAAATTCCCTATAACCTTCACTGAAGTCCTAATAAACTCAGTTCTCTCTTAGGAGTTTTACAAACTTATATTTCTTAACTCTGAACATTTTGTACAATACTTAGGCTAGGATTTCTCAAACTTTTTTGAACATGATCTGCAACGAAAAATTTATTTTAATTGCAAGTTACATATACACAACTGAAATTTACATGAATTCCCTCTAACATAAATGTTTCACTATGGGCAATGTACTGTGATAATTTCAATTCTGTCCCATTCAGTTAAATGCTGACCTAGTGAATTGGTTTCACTCTCCTCAAAAGGGCCTGGAGATGAATACTTTAGAAGAGGAACTAATCTAAATTTTTACCTGAAGGAAAAATTGATGTATATGATTTTGCCTGGACCCATTTCTATTTGGAAGACTGAAAACAAACTAACACAAAGGAATGAGTTTTTCATTTGGGAAGAGAAATTTTGTGGGTAGGATTTAGAAAGCCTAGCAGAGGTGTTTTTGAAATAAGGCAGGACATAAAGAAATTAATCCTTGAAAGGAAGGATTCCAGTCTTAGTTTAAAAAGGAAAACATTCCTTTGAATGCTATGTTTTTTATAGCTAAGGAATATATAAAATGTAAGAAACATGTGAACCAATGTTCTTGAAAATTCTAATGGGTGTTTTAGTTGGCCTCTAGTCAATAAAGGGTTTTGCTGGAATTCTGACACAAATACTCCTATCTACTCTTTTATACTGAGAAGTAGGTCTCCGCATTGTGAGAAAATTGAGTTGGATCTTATTCTTTTTAGGGGCCTCACCACTTAGTATATGTGATCAGAGAACATTAATTAATAAGCCAATATGGCTTGCAAACTAAATATGAATGCTTAAAATTTAGTGTTCTTATAGGAGTTAATTATGTTATACTTTTAAAAAACTTTGTAAAAACCCATATTCAAGGAATGAGTCTCTTAAGTGTTAGGATAATCAATTGTTAAGAACAAAGAAGTTCCTGAGTGCATTTTTAAGCTTTCACTTATGATATTAAGAAAAACCATTATTAAGAAAATGCCATTGTTACAAAAGAGGTTGTTTTAAAATTACATAATTTTAAAATGAATTGTAATAGCAATAAAAGTGCTAGTATTGGTATAGTAGTCTTAATGGCAGTAACTAAAATTTTATAGTGCTTTACAGTTTAAAAAGTAGTTTCAATAACTCTATGGTAGGTACATGTGTTATACTTGTCTATACAGATGAAACAACAAGCTCAGAGATACGGTAACTCCAAGTTTGCTGGACTTTAGAAGCAGGACATTTCTGTGAAATTTCATACTCTTTCAACAATACCAGTCCAATACTCTCCAAAACTATGTTTCTTTCTTTGTACTTGTTCTCTGTAGATCAAATATCGGGAAGAATATGAAAAGTTCAAAGCACTTTATACTTTACCAAAAAGTGTTGATGATGATCCAAACACTGCACGGTGCCTCCGAGTTGGCAAGCTTAACATTGATGTAAGTAATCCCAAAGGCCTTATGAAATCAAACTGAAGTCAAATGAAATATCCCCATATTAGAAATCAGAACATTTTCTAGTAAACAATACATATGGCACCAGTTATGCATATGTGAAACAGCCAAGTGCTATTTTAGCCCAGGCTACTTCCCCTCTCTCACCCCATGGTATGAATCAATAGAGGGTGTTAGGAAATTCCTGGCCCCACCCTGCTTCCGACTCTAAGTTGTTGTTTGCAGAAGTTTGGTTACCCTGACTTCTATAACGTATTGGAAAGACATGCATTGTTGTGATGCCTTGTACAATTTCCTATATAATGGCCATGCTATTTTAACTCCACAGCGTCTGTACAGATCAGTTTATGAAAAGAACAAGATGAAAATCCACATTGTGCCTGACATGGTGGAGATGGTGACTGCTAAGGATACTCAGAAGAAAGTCAGTGAGATTGATTACCGCCTACACCTCCATGAGTGGATTTGCCACCCTGACTTACAAGTCAACAGTCACGTCCGGAAAGTCACAGATCAGATCAGTGATGTAAGCCCGTTGCTTATGAAAAGTTTCCCCTTCTAATTACCCAGAAAAGAAGCAGATTTACCTGTCACTTCATTTCAGCCTTCTGTTTGTAGTACTGCTTTCATGCATATCCAGGGTCTGGCTTGATTGGGGAGCCATCTCTGCAAGTGGAGCTTTGTTGTCAAATGCTTCTGAAACTCCCAGGACCTAAATACCTGATGCTTTTCACTTTTCATTCCACAAAGTCACCTATGTCAAGTGTGTGGCTATGCTTTTATTCTTTAATTTTATTCTTGTGAAAATATATATAACAAAACATACACCATCTTAACAGTTTCTACACGCACAATTCAGTAACATTGATTACATTAATCCAACTGTGCAGCTATTCTCATTATCCTTTCCCAAATCATTCCCCCACCATTAAGATAAACTCACTGCCCCCTAGGTAAAAAAAAAAATCCCCTTTTCCCTGTCACCTCCATCCCTGTTGTTGTTGTTGTTGTTATGTACCGTCGAGTCAGACCCGACTCATAGCGACCCCTCTTTGGGTTTCCAAGGCAGTATCACTACAGAAGTAGATTGCCCCATCTTCCTTCCAAGGAGTGGCTGGTGGGTTTGAACCGACAGCCTTCTGGTGAGCAGTCAAGTGCCTTAGCCACTATGCTACCAGAGCTGCCCCTCCATCCCTAGTAACCTCCAATAATCTTTGGTTAGTATATTTTTGTTTATTTCATATAAGTGAGATCAAGATCTTATAATATTTGTCTTTTTGCAACTGACTTATTTCACTCAGCATGATGTTGTCAAGGTTCAGCCATATTGTGGCATGCATCGGGACATCATTTCTCTTTATGGCTTAGTAATGTTCTATTGTGTGTATGTACCACATTTCATTTACCCATTTATCTGTTGATGGACATTTTGGTTATTTCTGCCTATTGGCTGTTGTGGAAAGTGCCACACATGAACATTGGTGCACAAGTTCTGTATACACTCTTGCCTTCACTTCTTTGAGTACATACCTAGGATTGAGATTTGCTGGGTCATGTGGTGGTACTGTGTTCATCTTTTGGAGGACCCACCAGACTGTTCCCATAGTGGCCATACCAAACCACTTGTATATTTTTTCGTGTTAAAATTATGGTTAAATTTTTTAAAATCTTTTCCATCTATTGCAACTTTCTAGATTGTGTACAAGGATGACCTCACCTGGCTGAAAGGCATTGGTTGCTATGTCTGGGACACTCCTGAGATTCTCCATGCCAAACATGCTTATGATCTACGTAATGATGTGAGTTTGCCTTTTTTTTTTTTTTTAATATTTCCATCCCTATGTAGTCTGGAGGAGCTCTGGTGGTGTAGTGCCTAAGGCATTTGATTGCTAACCAGAAGGCTGGAGGTTCAAATCCACCAGCCCTTCCTTGGAAGGAAAACTGGGCAATTTACTTCAGTAGAGATACCGCCTCAGAAACCCAAGGAGGGGTTGCTATGAGTCAGAACCAACCTGATGACAGTGAGTTTGGCTTTTTGGTTTTCATGTAGTCTGGACCTAAGAGGAAAGTATATAAAGCAGGGAACATTGTTGCAGACCTACTAGTTAAGACCTACCAGACATCCTATGAGGATGTCTTGGCTGGAAAAAGATGCTAAGGAACATAGAATAGCTATTTCTCAGGAATGCAGATATCATTCCTCTTAAACATGCAGTCAAGTTGTAGCATTGTTCTCTGATAAAGAAGGGGTCCCTGGCTCTTCTCCCACCTTTTGAATTATTTTGGAAAACCAAGCACATAATTCTCCTTATATGAAAATCTCATTTATTAGATGCTTGTGATGCTATGGACAGAACTTATTTGTAATGATAAAATTTGCTAGGCAAATCCTTGATTAATACTGTAATCAAGATTTCAGTAAGAAAGTTAAGCTTTCCTAGAAGAGCAGTTGTTAAGACTCCTAGAGGACTCTAGAAGCTCCCTGTGACCATCAGCACTAATTAGTCTGATTGGTATAAAATTCAGATGCATCCTGTTGAGTGAGTGCTGATGAATGTAAATCCCATAAGTTAAATGTAACCAAGCTCCCTGCGAACAAGTAATTCTTAGTATAATGAATGGTCCCAACATAAACTTGTTTTCTTTCTCTTTGCAGATCAAGTACAAAGCTCATGTGCAGAAAACAAGGAACAACTACAAGTTGGTCACTGACACACCAGTCTACGTCCAAGCTGTCAAAAGCGGGAAACAGCTAAGTGATGTGAGTACTCACTAGGAACCTGCTTTGGACAGTGTTGGCTAGAAGGGAAAGGTGGTGGGTAAGACATAGCTAGAAATAAAGACAGGGACAACCACTGAAGCACAAGTGGCAAAAACTAAAGACTGGGCAGTGCCACACTTTTTCTAACTGGGAAACCAGGGTTGATGCCTTAGAAAGCAGTTAAGAGGCTGCTCTTATTTTCTAAAACTTGATGTATTCACATAGTGCCCTGGATTGTCTAAATATATGAAATCCTTTGTGGTTTAGACCTTCAAATATTGTTTGTTACACCCTTGTGTCATAACTAACAGTTATGTCTCTCTATCTAGATTTTCTAATACATTAGAGCTAATGATAGTGGAATAAGAATCCCCAGGTGGCACAAATGGTTGAGTGCTCCTAACCAAAATGTTGGCAGTTCAAACTTACCCAGGGGTGCCTCAGAAGAAAAGCCTGGTAAACTGTTTCCAAAGGGTTATAGCCTTTGAAAACCCTGTGTTCTGACTTGACTACATCTGGTTATGGTATTGGTTATTAAGGTAGAATAAGTAGCAATTAGACTCTGAAATTAGACATGTGGATTGGAATCCTACCTCTATTATATATAATATTTGAAGCTTGTGAAAAGCACTTCATCCCTCTGAGTCTCAGCATCCTTCTCTGTAAAATGGGAAAATGCATGTAAATCACCTATTATAATGCTTGATACAGAGCAAGCAAAGCAGGCAGATTGCTCTTTTTTCTCAACCCCACAGGTTAATAAATAAAGATTAGATCCACTGGTGAGTGAGAACATTAAAACCTATTATTTTAGAATGTCTGGTGATGAAACACCCACTCTTCCTCTTCTTATAGCTGAACCATCTCTTCCATTTATTTCTCGGCGTGGGTGTCCACATCCTGGCTCTGATCCTATTGGACATGACACAATAGTACATAAAATAGAGTTTTCTAGGCAACGCAAAGCAGCTACCATTTTTTATCTTTTTGGAGAGAAACTTGGGTTTTCATTTACTTTGCACTTTCTCACAATGTTCACACAATCTGAATTGGTCTACTCTTTCTCTCTCCACCCAGGCTGTCTATCACTATGACTATATACACAGTGTCAGAGGCAAAGTGGCTCCAACTACTAAAACTGTGGATCTGGACCGTGCCCTGCACGCATACAAACTCCAGAGTGAGGTGAGCAGTGAGAACTCAACATGGCACCTGGTAGAAATCTAGGATGGCCAGGTCATTGGCGTCGGTAGAAGTGACCTTTGCTTGGGCATCCTCTCAGCTTGACTTTGTAAATACCGTTCCAATCACATGTATTGAAAAAGAAAACAAACCACAGACTATAGATTGTCTTCCCTCTTTGCTGGCAGCAATCAAGCAAGCAATAAGCTTTTTTTGAGCAATGTTTACAAGTTAACAAAGAATAGAGCAAAGCTACTCTCTCTGCTCTCAAAAAAAGCTTAAAATCAAGTTGGGAAAGACAAGGCATATAATCATACTGACAATAAGAAATGAAGCTAGAATTTGCTGTTAGAATTCAGAAGAGAAAGAACCTGGACCCAACCAACACACTTAATATCCTATTGCGTACTTGTCAAGTGTGTTGCTTGGGTCTCTTATAATGTTACTCTCCTATTCTTGAACGTTAAAATTAATTTGATTTTTTAATATTTTAAATACTATTCTTAATCCTGTGTTGTTGTTATGTACTGTCGAGTCAGACCCAATTCATAGCGACCCCTCCTTGGGTTTCCGAGGCGGTATCACTATGAAAATGGATTGCCCAACCTTCCTGTAGCCCCCTGAAAAATAAAGTATTTAAGGTCACAGACAGAGGCTACTGACTCTTCTTGTTATAAATATGATCATCACGCCCTTTTCACAGCCTAGTGTCAAGACATTGTGTTTATGTGGTTGTATGGGGAAGCGGTGTTCCAAAGGTATGCCTTATAATATGGCTGTCTTAGAAAATGGTGATATCTGAAATATCACCTAAGGTTGGGGTAAGGACAGAGGTGTCACTTGGCTTCCTATTTTCTCTACTGTTCCCAAATTCCTGCAAGAGGCTATGCAGGACACTGGACATATATCCAGAAGCATAGAAGAATTACTTTTCATAAGCCTATTCAATAAGTCCTCTTTTTTTATGAAATAAAAAAAAAGGTTAAGAGTAGTCTAAGTTACTTCATGACTCTTAGGATTTATCTAATTTCTTCCCGAAATCAATCCAGTGAGCATAAACACATTAAGTAGCTGATAAAAACCTAACATGAGCTGGATATGATTTGTTTAACTCTGATCAGTTATTTGATGTCAAAAGTCTCAACCACCTCTTCCTTATTCTGGCAGAACCTGTACCGAAGACCTGGCCTGCACTCCCTGCCCACTGGATATCGCCTTCCAGTCGATACCATTCACTTCAAACACAACAAGGACACTCGATACATGAGCAGTTATGTGAGTGATCTTCTCCACCTTGAGAAAGAGTTTGGGATTAAAACACAACAACAACAACACTGCCATAGAGTCTATTCCAACTCAGAGTGACCCCCTTTGTGTTTCTGAGGCGGTGAATCTTTACAGAAGTAGATTGCCCAGTCTTCCTTCCATGGAGTGGCTGGTGGGTTTGAACAACCAACCTTCTCGTTAGCAGTCAAATGCCTTAGGCGCTATGCCACCAATGCTCCTTAGTTTGCCAGTAGGGGGTTAGTATTCATGAATAGTATTCATGAATAGTATTCTCATTTCCCTATCACATCCTGAAAGTCCAACAATAGTGATGAAATTGTTGAAAAGGAGACAGACAGCATACTTTCTAGGGCTGCTGCAAAATTGTCTTGTTTCTGCAATTCAGCAGTGCTGAATGGGGTAGCCCATTGGATTAGGATAGGATGTTCATGGGATTGTACCGTCTGGGCCAGTTACCTTGATTCAGGGCCCATGGCAACCATGATGTCCCTACTTCTGCTATCCTTAACATTGAAGCATAACATACCAAACCATACCAAGCTATTTATCATAAAGCAACTTTATACATGCCATAGTGATATGTGACAATAGTCGTCACCTTCCTCCTGCTGTGTTTCATATAACATCACCATGTATTCCTTTGAAATGAAAAGAACATTACCTGTTGGCTATGATACTTACCTCACCACTTACCCTCTGTGCCTAGTTCATAGGAATAGGTAGGCTCTCACTACTATTAGCTTATCCAGGTGCTGGCTTTGATACAAACCTTCCCTACTCTTTAAAAGCCAGGTTAGGACTTGATTGATTTATCCCATGGGTAAAGCCTAGAGAAGTTTTGGCTATCCCAGTTATCCTATTCTGCAGACTATGCTCAACAGACTAGCCATCTTCTGAAGAATAAGCTCACCCTTCCATTCTGCTTCTCCTCAGAGGCTCAGAAATCAAACCTGCTGACCAGGCAGGATTCAACGGACTATGGCCCCAGAATACGGTTCTCATGACATAGAGTCAGTTGATTCATCTATAAAGCTGTTCATCAGACTTAAAAATGCATCTTTGTTCCTTCTTTGCATATCTTAATTCTTAGCCATATGGGAGCTAAAAATCTAGATTTCTCTTGCATTTTGCATACCTCCCTACAAAGAGTTTTCATCCAAGCAAAGTGGAGTTTTATTCCTGTCTAGATCTAGCTTTATTACCCAACAAATAGTTTTCAAGACTTGGGTTAATACTGAAATTGTGTCAGTGACTTTTCTTTATACTTAAGGCTTAGAGAGTAATTTTCAAATAAAGTAACCCCTTTTTTCTACTGGAGAAATTTAATGTTGTTCTTTGTTCACCCATCATGGATCTCATTCTGGCTTTGTTTTTGCAGTTTAAGTACAAAGAAGTTTATGAGCACATCAAGGCAAATGGGTATACACTTGGCCCTAAAGACGTTCCATTTGTCCATGTCCGGAGGGCCAACAAGGTTACCAGTGAGGTACGGTGAATGCTAATTCTGTGGGGAAAATATTGGGTTTCAAAGCTCCTGGCTTTGTTTGAAATGCCGTAAGAAATTAATTGTACCCCAGTTGTAAACTTATACCTCAGCAAGGAGTAAGAGGGTCTTTTTTTGTCACCATTTTGATATTAATATTTTTTGGCAGTGTTTTTCTCTAGTTTGTACTGCCATTGAGTCTCTAGAGTAAGTTCCATGGATTACAACACAAAATTTTTCCAAAGGAAAAAAAAATTCCTTCTTTTGACATTTATATTTAAAAATCCTTAATAAGCTGTATTTTATTCTGATTCATGACCTTTGTTCCACATAAACTTTTGGTTTGTATATATCCTGCTAACTAACCATTTGATAGAAAGTGAAAGTCTTTGTGCTCAGAGTCTTCAGCTAAATAAGATAAATGTCTTTTTCTTCTTTTTCCTAATCTCAATCTATTTCCATATCTCCAGTCTTCCTTTGCATGGCACTTTATGTAAAATATTTGCTTGTTAATTAGTCAGTAAATACCCTGATTATCTTACATTAAATCCCTGCAATGATTTTCCTCCAATGTAGAGACTGTATCGACAGTTGTACCACAAACTGAAAGATAAGATTCATACAACTCCTGATACACCTGAAATCCGCCAAGTCAAAAAGACACAAGAAGCTGTCAGTGAGGTGGGTATTTCCTTAGCAGAAAAGGCAGACTGTGGAACCCAGGGATGCATGTCAACCATTTGGTCTCTAATATGCGTGTTTCTGGGTGTTTTTTTTCTTTCTCTTTAAGTTGATCTACAAATCAGACTTCTTCAAGATGCAGGGGCACCTGATCTCCTTGCCATATACACCCCAAGTTCTCCATTGCCGCTACGTGGGAGACATCACCAGTGATGTAAGCATCTCATAGGCATCTTTCTGGTGGGGATCACGTCTTAACAAGAGGCAGGCTTGCTTTCTGCATTTAAGCCAACCAGTGCTCATTGAACATCCTTCTCCACTGAGTACTTCCAAACCAGGTGTATACCTTAGGGGTGAAATAGCATGGAAACCAAAACACTGGTTGCCATGGAGTCAATTCCTACCTATGGTGGGCCCAGTGGATCAGAATAGAACCATGCTCCTTAGGGTTTTCAATGGCTGCTTTTTCAGAAATAGATTGCCAAGCCTTTCTTACAAGGTGGCTCTGAATGGATGGAAACAACCACCTTCCTGGTTATCAGCCAAGCTTAGTAACCATTCTCCCACCCAGGGATTCAGCATGGAAAACGAACCTCACATTTCACCAGCTGTGGAAACAGCAGTAAGAGGACCAACTGGGCAATGAAAGAATCTGACTACTGTTCTGTATTCAACCCTCAGTCATTATTGCTCCTTCCTCTAATTGTTCTCTGTCTCTCATCATGTTCAGTATCTTTCTCCTTTCATCCCTACTCCCAGCCCCTCTAGCAACTTCCTACTGCCATCTTGTTTTTCAAATCCTCATTGGATGTTTTCTTCTCCTAAAACACCCCTCCATTCACTCTGTGGTTTTTCTCCCATCAATGTAATAATAAAATAGTATTAATAAAACTCTCCTCAGTGCAAAATTAGAGACATAAATGAAAAAAAAAAAAACCAACACTATGCTTTATTTGATGGCAAGTAAACTAAGATGGTGAAATTTTGGCTTACTTACTTTGGACAAACTCTCAGAAAGACCAATCTCTAGACAAGGACCTCATTGTGGGTAAAGCAGAGAGTCAGCAAAAAGGAAGGAAACCATCAATTAAATCACTTGACACAATAGTCAAAGCAATGGACTCCAACATAGCAACAATAATGAAGATGGTGCAAGACCAGGCAGCCTTTTATTCTGTTATCCATAAAGTCATTATGAGTAAGAGCTGATTTGATGGCTCTTAATAACAACAACAACAAACTCGGAATGAAAGGGAACATGTTGAATCAGAATGAAAGATAAATTATTTTAAGAAGGGCCACTACTCTGTCTTTTTCATTCTTGATTTACTTTTGCTCATGACCAGTCATATTTCTGTTTCTAAACCACAGATTAAATACAAAGAGGACTTGCAGGTTCTAAGGGGCCTGGGCTGTTTCCTGTATGACACTCCTGACATGGTCCGTGCCCGGCATCTGCGAAAGCTATGGGTGAGTATATTGTTTATTTTCAGAGCTTGCAGGGCCTCTACACAGTGATCCATACACCCCATCACACCCATCACCAGCTGCAGTGTGCTGGGCAGAAAGAATCTCTTCCTGCAGCTGCTTTTAGGGCAGCATTTCCCATTAACTGTGCTTAGCTGTCATGAACCACTCAAGAGGTTCAGTACTTCCTATAAAAGGAGTAAGTTTAACTAAATGACAATGGCTTTTGTTCCTGTCTGGAAAGATATCCAGGACATGGAGATAGTTACTCAGCATGTATATGTCAGCCATTTGAAAAGGAATGTATGGCCGTGAGGCACAATCACTTAAGTGATTCATCATCTTGTGTTTCTTTCATTGTTGGGTTTTTTGTAGTCTAATTACGTGTATACAAATAATGCAAAGAAGATGCGCGACAAATACAAAGTGGTGCTTGACACACCAGAATATAGGAAAATACAGGAATTGAAGACACATCTGAGTGAGGTAAGGACACTTTACCTTCTACAAGTCAGTTGACTTGACTAAGGCTGAATTACTCATAAAAAGGTTTTTAGATGCTCTGGTCATCATTTTTCAAGCAACTACAGCACGTAAAATATCTCCCCTCTGTCCTAAACTATGAAGTGGCCAACATGTCTAAGCAAGTCATTTGGCCTCCCTTTGCCTCAGCTTACTTATTTTGTCCCTTATTGGTAAAATGAGGATATTGATACTTTTCCTACCCATGACTAAGGTTGCTGAGAGTTTCCACGATTCATGGTTTCATGAAAACCCTTTTGCTCTACACTATTGCAGTCTCCAAACTAAATATAAACTTAGTTGAAAACTCTGTCTTGTAAAGCCCTCCTATCAGGAACCCTAATCGTGGCAGTGCTCTGTTTAAAAGTTTTCAATGGCTCCCTGATACTCATTCAGTAAATTCAAAACTACTTAGTGTCATTTTCATCTGCCCACCTGGCACTGAGACATCATCTCATGTCTCTCCTCCAGCTGCCAAATAAAACAAAATTGGTAACTTAAAATGCTTATTCTTATTTCTGAGATACCTTTACTTCTCCTCACTGTCTGGGTTTAGAATTACCTACAACTTTAATTTCTCCTCTTCCAATTTCTGTTGGAATTTTATGTATATTGTGCATCAATACCAACTTCCACATTAAGGAAGGGAATAGATATTTTTCAGTAGTGCAGTTTCTTCCACACTGAACTGACTATAAGAATGATCTGTGCTTGATAACATACTGATCCAAGCCACTCTTGTAGATTTAGAAGATGTAGGGTAGGGCCTGCAAATCTATTTTTAATAAGGACCAAGGAGACTTTTTTAGAATCAGATGTTTGAAAAACACAAACTTACTAAAAAATTTCCTGGTGAAGAGAAGTTCAGGTTATTGACTTTTATATTGTCTTGATTCTTGGATGTATACATACATTAGTAGTATATCGAAGCAAGGATATTGTCCCAAGAAGCATGAACAATGAGTACCTGTTTTGGTTACTTCATGCTGCTCTAACAGGAAAAATACCAAAAATGGGTAGTTTTAAATAAACAGGGATTTATTGTCTTACAGTTTTGGAGGCTAGAAGTCCAAGTGCAAAGCGCCAGGCTCTAGGGGCTGGGTGAAAGCCCCTCAGCCTTGGACTTCAGCTCTGCCTCTTGCTCTTGGTTCACTGGAGCTAAAGGTGTCTCTTTACTCAGGCAGCTGCTGGCTGTTGAGGCTAACAACCCCAAGATTGACAAATAAAATGTCATAGTCACAATATTGCCACACAACAGGCCACTAGTTCAAGTCCAGAGATAGTCCCAAGACTGGCAGGAAACATGGCAGGCTGCTGAATGTAGACTTGGCTACATGCTGGGTCCAAGTGTGCCAAAAAGCTGCAGACCATTCCTAAAGCTTCTCCTTATATACAGGGAGCAGACTGCATCCTAAGGCTGCTCACATCAGATTCCACCATGGAGTTGATTACCAGTCTCACCATGGGAAATAACTACATCCAGCTGCCCAGCCACTCAAAACCAGGCTCAGCCAAGTTGACACATAACCTTAACTACCACAGCATACCTAAGTAAAGGAGAAATGTATACAAAGGAAATTATAGAAATTAAATGGAAGAGTTGAGTTTCAGTCCCAGATTTGCTTCCAGTTAGCTGTGTGACCTTGTATAATTCACAGCTTTGGCACGTCAATTTCCTGAGTAAGAGGATTAGACTAGATGATGATTCTGGCTTCTTTTAACTATAATATTCTGAGTTTGTTGATTTAATTTATTAAATATTTAGCCTGAAACATTAGATTTTCATTCAGTTTATCTCTTTTCTTCAATAGTAACACCAATAACATCGTCAAGAAGATGAATCACATTTTGTTTTAACTTGTACATAGTTTAGATTTAGAGAAATGAACTTGTATACACATATGTATGTTTGTAATATTTATTTTTTTAGCTTTTCATCTGTTGGCATTTAAATCTGTGATTAGATTTTATTTGTGCTCCATTTCTTTTTTCTGGTTTGCCTCATTATATTAAATTCCCTCAACATTTATTAGAAGACAACTATTGTCCAGTCCCTTTGCCTAAGCACAATGTGATGAACTTATGAAAGAACTGAGCCCCATGGGCACACAGTGTGGGAGAAGAGATAGACATAAATATGATAAATGGTGTAAGAATAATCAAGACAACATGGACTCTAGGAGTTTCCCAAGCAGAAAAGAGGGAGAACATTCTAGACAGAAAGGACAGTATTAAAAATAGCCACAATGAGTTCTTGAAACTGGGAATAGCTTCAAATAGCACATGGGGAATGTGGAGGAATGTTGGGAAACAAGATAAGAAGCATAGGTAGAAGCCAGCTTTGGAAGACTCATAGGTGCTATATAAATAATCTTGAGCTTGATGAAAAATCACTGAAGAATTACTTTTAGGCAGGGTAAGTCTGAGCATTTAGATTAGATCTGAGCTTTAAGAAAATCTCTCACTCAAATTTGTGGAAGATGAATGAGTCATGTGGAACAGTCTCATAGTGGATTGGGAAGTTGCTTTAGGAGGCTCTTATGGATGTTTCACTCACTCACTCACTCACTCACTCACTCACTGCCATCAAGTGGGATCCGACTCATAGCAATCCTTCCTTGGGTTTCCGAGACAATATCACTATGGAAGTAGATTGCCCAATCTTTCTTCCAAGGAGTGGCTGGCAGGTTTGAATCGCCAGCCTTCTGGTTAGCAGTCAAATGCCTTAGGCACTACACCACCAGAGCTCCCCAATGGATGTGCAGGGAACAACAATAAAAAGAAGAAGAAGACGATAGGAAGCTAAACTAGGCATTAGGAGTGGGAAGTGAGAAAAAAGAACATACTTAAGGGATATCATGAAGTGAGCAGCCAAAGATTTGTGACCATTTTAACATGGAGAATGAAGGAAAAGGAGTCTAGGATGACTGCCCTAATTTCTGGTCTGAGTAACTGGAAGATCAAGGAGCTATTTAGCAAAATAGAGAAAATAGGAGAAGAACTAGATTTTAGGTAGGGGCAGGGAATAATATGAAGGATTCAGTAGTGAGCATGTTGAGTCACCCAAGAAAGTTGTTGGATATTTGGGTCAGGAGCTCAGGAGAACTGAACATACACATTTAGAGGTTGTCTAACCTCTAAATAAATGAAATAAATGGTTATGGCTGAGATCATCCATATGTATGAGGTCAAAGGAGGCAAGTTCTAAACCCTAAGTAACAGCTTTTGGGGGACATGAAAGGCAACAGAAGAGTAAAAGAAAGACAATATTTCTACATACATATTTGTAATGTGCTATAAAAATGTCTATATATGTAAGCAGGCCAGAAGAGCAGGAGAAAGGGGATTAAAAGACAGGAAGCCAGAGAGAGGAACAGTCAGCCACAGGGACCTAGGTGGGGGGATACGAGAGGTCTCCAACAGCAGGACAAACTTGTCTGTCGGTTTGTCCTACTGTGGTGACATGTAGACGTGAGTTT